AAAAAAAAAAAAAAAAAAAAGCTGCAACATCAGAACAAAATTAAAGAATATAAACCAGACAGTCTTGTTTGAAGTAATCGTTTTTTAAAAGGAAGAAAAAGAAGACAGAAAAACAGTGTCTACTGACATGGAACCTACCCTTTTCCTATTTTTGTTCTTTATTTATTATTGCAAGAAAGCAGAAAAAAACAAAAGCAGCAATATACCTTATTCTGATGCAAGGATCTTGGTCATTGGTTTGAAGATGTCATTACAGAACATAACTGGGAATCAAGAGAAAACCCCCTCCCTCAGGAATTCCAAAGAAGATCTGTTCTTGGTGTGGTAAGAGAAAGAGAGAAGTGAGCTCGAGACACGAGAAGATGAGGAAGCATCCAAAGTAACAAGGCGCATTATAGCAACAACTCCATTTTCTTATACTTGATTAAAGACTTAAAAAGCAAGTCTTTCCACATGAGAAAGAACATAAATAGGATGTCCGCTTTAGGAGCCAAGCATGAGGACAAAGGGCCCCTTTGAAAATTTTCTCTTTTTCTTCTTTAGCTTTTTTTTAATAAATTTGTAATGTCAGGATTCGAAGTGTTACTAAAAGAGAAGAAATGTTTACTTAAACATAACTTGACGTCATTATATCGAAAATTTAAAAGTAATTAATTTTGGTTTTTTTCTTATAAACAAATTTACAAAAAAATCAAATTTAAACCATTATTTAAAAAAAAATGTACTTTACGAGTAACATGAAGGCAATGAGCCGTAGGACCAAGTGCTTTTTTCTTCTTTGGCTAGCGAGGAATATTTTGGTAGTTTTCATTGTTTCAATTGTAGTAGGTCATAAACTTTATTCTTCTCATCATTATGCTTTTTTATTTAATTTATCTTATTTTATAAACCCAAAATAATAACTTTTTTCTTCCCCCAATGTTTAAAGGCTGACTTGTTATTTGTTTGGAGGCTAATTTTATTGAAAAGTATTTTACTAAAAGTTAGAAAAGACTTCAATTAAGTTCGGTTGAAATTGTATATAATTACTAATTTTTATGTGTTTAATAAAAAATTAATATAAAAAATTGATAATAAAAAATTATAAAGGTCTCATATAAATAAAGTTAGGTGTAAACTTTTTTTTAAAAGAAAAATTACTAATTAAATATTTTATTAAAAAAATAAAAAAATAAAAATATTATTTATTTATTATTTTTTTATTATAATTTTAAGACAGGTAAGCATCACAATACTCTTACAAAATCTTGAGAGTAACATTTCTGGAAAAGTATGCAAAACTCCCACTTCGTCAATGGACGCTAGCAAAACGCTTTTTTTTTTTTTTCTTCTTTTTCCTTTGGTGAATTTCTAGGAAAAAGTTTGTAGCCCCAATCTGGCTCATGCTTGAGTTTTTTAAAAGTGCTTTTTGTGAAAAGGATTTCTTTTGACTCGGACTATGTCTTCTCTGGCCCACTGCTCACATGTCTTTGCGGATTGGGCTTTTGCCCTTCTTTTGAATCATTGTACTAGAGTAGTTTCTGAACATGGTAATAGAGCCCAATGGACGAAAGCCCTTCCTCTTATGTAAATAGATTTGGAATTGGGTGTACTACGAATCACGGCATATTTCAGCATTTGATGGATCTTAGGCCCATATGAAGTAGACTTGAATCACTTGATAATTTTGGAACATCAGGACACTTTGCCCGATGCTATTATTAGATTAAAAATAATAAAAATTTGCCTAATTTGTGTTTTTAGATATAAATTAAAAGTATAATAAATATATTTTTTATAATTAATTTATATAAAAAATAATAAAAATTTTATTTTTATTTTAGTGTCATTATTACGTTGATTACGTGTTGATAGTTTTAATTGATCAATTGATTAAATTCAAGTTAACTTTTATTATATTTATATAAATTAATTATAGAATTATATATTTATTATACCCTTAACATATGTCTTATGAATACGTAATAAAAAAACACAAATAATAATAAGGATTGAGTTTTATTATAAAATTTTACCACATGACTAACATGTTGTACGTGTAATATTACATATATTTACTAGTTTCATATCATTTGCACATTAGAAAACAAAATGTTAGGATTGCTTGACAGTTCTGACATAATCAGAATTATCTATCATGTAGTTTCTACGTAGACTCAATGTGGAGACCATATGATGGATGACTCTAGTTTTGTTAGGATTGTTAGTCAGTATTGACTTTTGGTAATCCTTTTGAACATTATAAAATTTATTGAAAATTTTCATAGTAAAAAAAAAAAACCAAATTGGTTTTTTTTTTTTTATCATATGAAAAATTGGAAAAATTCCCATGGCCATGCATGCCAAGTTGAGCCTTTATTATTAGGGAGATAAAATTTCTCTATGCATTCTCATGATGGTTTGAAAAAAAGAAGATTAATAAATTTTCCAAATTATGAAGGTGTTAAATAATTTAACTGATAATTATCTAATACATAATTTACTTAGATAACAAAATAAATCAAGAAAGTAGTTATACATGTGAATCTTTTTATGGCAGTTGCTTGACATAATTTACCTAGAGGTGGCATGAGGGAAGATGGAAAAGGGAAAGGAAGAAATGTTGCTTGAAAGTTCCATATATTGACCTTTTTTAACGGCCATGATCCATTATTACATCATGACCAATGCATTCACATGCACTTAGTCTTTCAAAGCGGCAACATCTGGATGCATTCATTCGGAGAAATTATTTGCAAATCTTAAAGTATCTTACAAATTAAGCTAAACAACATTCTGCCCTCCTAAGGATGATTTTGTGCTCTAAAATTGTGTATACACCCATAAACTTGTACTAATAACATGAGTCCACTATTAATTGATTGAATTATTTTATATCAATGATTTAAATAATTCAGTAATATTTTTAGTTACTGAAACTAAAAAATATTGAGTTCAAATTATATAGTATATAGATAAAGTAGAATAATAAATGAAAAATGATTATTTTTTATTGTATAATCAATATAAAAAATTATATACATTTAATGGTCTACAATACTAATACAATTAAAAAAATATGAGCTTTTCATTTTGTTGTCAAAAGATACAAGATCATTACCCAACTGTACCTGTTCTGGCAACAACGCAAAAGTAAGACACCTAATCCTTCAAATTTGAACATGAACTCATACAATTGATTGATGAGTCTAATTGGAGTATCAAAATATTAACATTATTATTATTATTATAATAGTAAGAAAACACATCCATATATACAAAGCTAATTTAGTGCTAATTTAGTGCTCGTTTGATGTGGTAAGAGATTTTAATAAAAATTTTGTTGAAAAAAAATTATTATAGAAATGTTATTTTTGTAAATAAAAAGAAAACTAATAATAAAATAAAAATAATGTATTAATTTCATTAAAACTCAACTAAGAAATTTTTGTAGAAACATCAATTCGATACTTTTAAGATTTGCAATGAAATAAATAAAATATTACCTTTTAAACAATTATAATATTTTTCACAAATCATAATATCTAATACAACTGAAACTTTTGAACTTCAAAAATACTTTTCATCAGTTGTATCAGTTGTACTAAACGTAACTTTATTATATATAGATATTGCATACCGAAACCTTATTCATATTTATAAATTTATTATAATATTTTTAATATAAACCATCAGGTCAAATTTATATAGTATACATAAAAAAAAATTTTAATTCCAAAAATTAATAAAGAGTGGTTAATCCCAAGAAAAAGAAAAAATT